TGGGACAATTTCCCACGGCCAATCCCACCCTAACCTGCACATCCCTGGGCACTATGGGACAATTTCCCACGGCCAATCCACCCTAACCTGCACATCCCTGGGCACTACGTGACAATTTCCCACAGCCAATCCACCCTCTTTGGACTGTGGGAGGAAACCGGAGCACCCGGGGGAAACCCACGCAGACACGAGGGGGGAATGTGCAAACTCCACACAGACAGACAGACAGTTGCCCGAGGGTGGGATCGAACCCGGGTCCCTGGCGCTGTGAGGCAGCGGCGCTACAGCTGAGCCGTTGTGCCATCCCATTGATTCCCTGCAACTCTCAAACAGCCACGTAGAGCTATAAAGCGCAGAAACAGACCCTTTAGTCCGAATCGTCCGTGCTGACCCGGATATCCTAAATTAATCCAGTCCCATTTGCCAGCGTTTGGCCCCATATCCCCCTAAACCCTTCCTATCCATGTCCCCATCCAGATGCCTTTTAAATGTTGTAACTGTACCAGCCCCCACCCACTTCCTCTGGCAGCTCGTTGCCAGGGTTGGAGGGTTTGAGCTACAGGGAGAGGCTGGGGCTGTTTTCCCTGGAGTGTCGGAGGCTGAGGGGGTGACCTTTATAGAGGTTTATAAAATCATGAGGTGGCAGGGATAGGGTGAATAGACAAGGTCTTTACCCCCCAGGGGGTGGGGGAGTTCAAAACTAGAGGGGCATAGGTTTAAGGTGAGAGAGGGGAAAGGGACCTGAGGGGTAACATTTTCACGCAGAGGGTGGTGCGTGTGTGGAACGAGCTGCCAGAGGAAGTGGATGGGGGCTGGTACAATGACAACCTTTAAAAGGCATCTGGACGGGGACATGGACAGGAAGGGTTTACAGGGATATGGGGCCAAACGCTGGCAAACGGGACTGGATTAATTTAGGATATCTGGGTCAGCACAGACGGGTTGGGCCGAAGGGTCTGTTTCCGTGCTGTGCGACTCTGTCGATATCTCGCTGTGAACCATTTGCTTCCCCTCTCGCAACCTGGACTTTGTGTGTCGTCGGCCACAGCCTGGTCTGTTCTGCTCCCCACCTCGGAAGTCAGTGAGCGACTTGTAAAAACCTTGCGTCCTGGGGGCTCCGATCCCCAGCGGGGCCCAATCGTGAATCCCCGACCCTTTTTACGTTAATCCCCCTCCCCGACCCCCTCGGGCAACAGCCCGCTTGGCGGAGCGAACCGGTCCCCCTGGTGAACCGCACACCTTCCTGCCACCCCCGAGCTGCTGCAAGGTTCATGGGGTGGGACGTGGCCGTGGTGGGTGGGGGACCAAGACGGATTGCGACCAAGGCTGTGGAGGAGGGATAATTGCTGGGGGTGGGGTGCTGTTCCCTCGTTCCAGGAGTGTGGGGTGGGGAGGGGTGGTGAAGACGGACTATTGGTTGACTGAGGTCTGTCTCTCTCTCTCTCTCTCCCCTGTGCAATGCAGCTGGAGGAGAAGCTGGAGACCTGGCTACAGAGGTCTATAGAGACCGGAGACTGGACAGCGAACGCTCGCTTCATCACACACTCCTGGATTCGAGATGGCCTCAAGGCACGCTGCATCACCAGGGACCTCAAGTGGGGGACTCCTGTACCACTGGAGGAGTTCAAGGACAAGGTGAGGGTTAGATACAGAGTAAAGCTCCCTCTACACTGACCTCCCTCACCAACCACTGCCAGCGCCAGGGACAGGGACAGGATGAGGTTAGAGACAGAGTAAAGCTCCCTCAGTATCTCTGACAGCTGTTTCCCATTGCTTGTAGGTTTTCTACGTGTGGTTCGATGCTCCAATTGGTTATATCTCCATCACTGCTGACTACACAGAGCATTGGGAGAAATGGTGGAAGAATCCGGAAGAGGTGAGCACGGGGTTCGGGCGGAAAACGCAGTTATAATGATAACCTGATCCAACACAACCTGGATTCTTAAAATTCACATCCTGCTCTTCGAATCCTACAACACTCTCACTGTCACCTCCACCGGCCCCCTATACTTGCTCCCTGTCTCCGTCACCTCCTCGAGACCCCTACACCCGGTCCCTGTCTCCGTCACCTCCTCCGGCCCCCTACACCCCCGTCCCTGTCTCCATCGCCTCCTCCATCCCCCTACAGCCCCCTCCCTATCACCGTCACCTCCTCCATTCCCCTACACCTCCCTCCCTTTCACCTTCACCTCCTCCATCCCCCTACACCCCTCTCGCTATCACTGTCACCTGTTCCAGCCCCTGACACTCCCTCCCTATCTCTGTGCCCTCTCCTGAAGACGCCCACCATTTGGTAACCTGTCTGTAACGTTTCCATTCGTGGCTTGACCTGGTCTGTTTGTTCTGTGAATGGGACCTTTACAGATGTTCTGGATGCTATATAAATGTGCGCCAGTGTTGGTGAGTGAATGGAGGTGACTCTCTTTCTTTCTACCCCTCCCTTCCCTCCGTCCCTCCCCTCTCCCGTTCCCCCTCTCCTTAGGTTAAACTGTACAATTTCATGGCGAAGGACAACGTCCCTTTCCACAGTGTGGTCTTCCCCTGTTCCTTGCTCGGGGCTGACGATAACTACACCCTGGTGAACAGCCTCATCGCTACAGGTAAAGTCACGCTGTCTGTGTGCCCAGTGTTTTCTCCCTCTCTCTTTCTGTTGCGGTCTCCATTCAGCTAACTCTCTCCCTCCCCCTCAACCCCCATCGCCCTCTTTCCCTCCCCTGCACACTCCCTCTCCCTCCCTTCCACCAACCCGCTTGCAGAGTACCTGAACTATGAGGATGGGAAGTTCTCCAAGAGCCGGGGCGTCGGTGTGTTTGGGGACATGGCGAAGGAGACTGGGATACCGGTCGACATCTGGAGGTTTTACCTGCTCCTTGTCCGTCCCGAGGGGCAGGACAGCTCCTTCTCGTGGCATGACCTGATGCTGAGGAACAACGCTGAGCTCCTCAACAACCTGGGCAACTTCGTCAACAGGTACACAGCACTGCACCACCTCTCCCCATCTCCCCAACCCCTCCCTCCCTCCCCCATTCAGACAGGAACAGGAAGAGGCCATTCAGCCCCCTCTCCTTGAGCCTATCACACGGGAACAGCAGGAGGCCATTCAACCCACCCTCCTCCAGCCTGTCACACGGGAACAGGAGGAGGCCATTCAGCCCCTTCTCCTTGAGCCTGTCACACACAGGACAGGAGGAGGTCATCCTCGCCTCCCTGCACCTCTAGAAAGAGCTTCAGCAATGACCGTTTAGCGAACAGCCTCAGTGCATTACAGGCCGGGTTTCGGGTGGTGATACCTCGGCCAAAGGTGTCAGAGTTGAGCAGTGGTGTGAAGGAGGAGATTGGTGGGGCGGGGGGGCCAGAGACGTTCAGGGAGGGGAGTGCTAGAACTCTGAGACCCCAAGCAGGACAAGGCACATCCCGCAATGGCAGAGGGTGGGAATGGATTGGGCTGCGTGAGGGGCCGGAATCCGAGGAGGGCAGAGGGTCAGAGGTGACAGAGATGGGGAGGGGCCTGTAGGGGGATGGAGGAGGTGACAGAGGTAGGGTATAGGATTGTGTGAGATGTCTGGGACGTTGGTGACCACCCGGTGTGTGATTTGCCTTCAGGGCTGGGATGTTTGTCAGTAAATTCTTTGATGGTGTGGTGCCCGAGATGGAGCTGACCCTGGAAGACAAACGGCTGTTGGTCCAGGTCTCGTGGGAGCTTAAACAGTACAACCAGCTCCTGGAGAAAGTACGGTTAGTGCCGAGGGAGCGGGGGCGCCGTCGGAGGGTCGGGGCCGAGGGAGCGGGGGCGCCGTCGGAGGGTCGGGGCCGAGGGAGCGGGGGCGCCGTCGGAGGGTCTGGGGAGTGCGTTGTTTTGAGTAATTGCCGGTGTTTCTCGCCCTTGCCTTCTTACCCTCGGCCCTAGAATCCGCGATGCCCTGAGATCCGTGCTGAACATATCGCGATACGGAAACCAGTACATCCAAATCAACGAGCCCTGGAAACGAATCAGGGGGAGTGAGGCTGATCGGTGAGTTTTCCCGCCTCCAGGGAGCTTCCCAAGATCTATGTCGAACTCCTTTTTCAAAAAAAAAACGTTGTACATTTCGGCCGCAGTGGCTTTCTGTAGGCAGGGAATTCCACAGGATCGACCCTCCCCCCTCCCCAACTCTCTGGGTGAAGAC